TTTCTATTTTATGTCAAGCAACGGGATAGACGTCTCTTTCTCTCAGAATTATCGAGGATAAAGTACGCGCAGCATATTTTAACAAAATAAGTTTCAAAACGCGCAAGTTTAATTATATTGATTTTACATTATAACGATCGTGTTACCGCCACAACCATCGTGTACCGCACAATGGTGCCGCGGGGCTAAAGTCATAATTACGTTTCTCTTTTTGCGTCTAAGGGCAAGATACTTGTTCCGGTTCCTCTGCGCGTAATATACGTCTTGAAATGAATTATCAAGTTATCCGCTCTCGCGCGGGCGACCGAGCGCAATTTAATGCGAAAGACAAAGCGCGCTCTCACGCTCTCTCTCTCCCGCGCTAACGAATCGTAACATAAAGATAATAATAATGTAATAGAGCAAGTAACGAGCGGTATTATTTTGTTCTCCGCAAATCAGCAGTTGAAATTGTTCGTTAGCGCAAAAAATCCACCAAAGAAACTCAAAACATTCGCCGATAAATTGCCTCTTTAACGTCATTAACTTTTGTTAAATAATTTACATACAATATAATGTGTGCAATGTATGGCTTTATGTCGGCGTTCAGCCCATATGAATTCGGTGCGAGATGACGCTTTAAATTGTTAATGGAATGGTGATTTTACTACAAACGTGCGTTAAAATATACAAGTGCGTTATAACAACGAAAAAAGCATCGAATCATCCAAAGTTTGACACGCAGCAAATATATTTTGCTAAAAATCCTATTATTGTATATTTCACAGACTTTGTATAAAAATTTCTCTTAATATTTTTACAAAAATTATTTAAAATGTAAACGAAAATATAAAAAGTTTGCTGTGCTGATAAAAAGAATAATGTATTTTAGTTTATTTGAGTGATTTAGTTCGATGTGAATTTAAAAATAATTTTATACCCGAAAATCCGATAAACTCTAATGATCTCGTAACAAGATATAAATTATTAGCTTTATTATCATCTCGAGGAAATATCGAGCATACATGTTCCTTTGAGCGCAAATTGCACGCATCGTGGCCTGAATTCCGAAGCAATCAACGGATGACATTAAATTATATATGCGCATCGTCGACTGGCGAAGCGAGCGGGACTTTGGTGGCGTAATACGGTTGCCGATAATGCATGCGCAATTAATTCCGTGAGTGTCCCTTATCTGCATAAATAATTAAACTCACCTTAAGCCGGAATTGCTTTTCAAAGCGCGGATTTGAAATGTCATTTGATTTTCTTCGCCGCTTTCAAATTCACAAGCGCCATTCAGCACGTACCTTAGCTTGACTAATTAGATTTTTAATTTTAACTTAGAAGCTACATTCTCGGCACATTCAGAGAGGTTAGATGTATATATTTTACGGAGAACAATCCGTTTCCGTGTTTATTTAAAATTGTATCTACTAAAAATTACACAAGGTACTAATATACTACTTCGCGTAATTTTTTTTTTTTTTTATTCTTAAGATAAAAACAGACAGGGAGAGAACCCGAAACCGCGATGATTAATCGTAAAATAAACTAAAACCAGCAAATGATCGGCGCGAAGAAATCGCTTAGAGCGGCCACGAGGTAAGGACACAGAGCGGCAAGTACGTTCCGTAATGCGCGATAAGAGACCTCGTACGGTTAATTAGCGTCAACTTTATTACGACGGGGTCGTTTGTTCGGGGCAAATACGCGAGCGCGAGGGAGAGCGAGCGACCAGCGCCATTTGAATTTCGCTTTGACGGCGATACACGCGCGCCGGGTGTATATTTAATAGACTCTTAATTGGAGTCACAGGCTCGAGAGGTTTAATTGGACTCGCGTGCTACTAGAGAGCGCGGGACGTACTAGCCGTTCTACGGTTTTTGCGTTCTCTCTCCTTCGTCTGTAACTCGTTTTTTTTTATTACGCTCTTTCATCCTTCGGTTGAGAAACAGAGAACGTCCCCCTTCATCTGGTTGTGAGAAGACGCGGACCTCGGAGTTTCAGGTTGCATAATCGATAGATGACGACTCAAGAATATCACCAGGATGTTCGTTTGAACGCGATATCGCGGTCGTTTTAATCCTCAGAATAATAAATCGGGAAAGATGTCTCAGATATCTTGTTTGCTTTCTATATATAACATTTGTATATATATATATATATATATATATATATATA